TTAATCATTTTTAATCATTTTTAATCATTTTTAATCATTTTTAATCATTTTTAATCATTTTTAATCATTTTTAATCATTTTTAATCATTTTTAATCATTTTTAATAATCATTTTTAATCATTTTTAATAATTTTTAATCATTTTTAATCATTTTTAATCATTTTTAATCATTTTTAATCATTTTTAATCATTTTTAATCATTTTTAATAATCATTTTTAATCATTTTTAATCATTTTTAATCAATCATTTTTAATCTTTTAATCATTTTTATCATTTTTATCATTTGTAACATTTTTATCATTTTTATCATTTTTATCATTTTTATCATTTGTATCATTTGTATCATTTGTATCATTTGTATCATTTGTATCATTTGTATCATTTGTATCATTTTTATCATTTGTATCATTTGTATCATTTGTATCATTTTTATCATTTTTATAATTTTTATAATTTTCACCCCCGTTCTCCCCCCTTAAAATGTGAAAATCCAAAAACCATAAAACACATCATTTTTAATTTTTAGTCAGTAGCTGTAAATCAAATTTTTATGTTTCAAACTTTAAATAAAAAATATATACATACTATTAAACAAATTTTCACCCCCATTCCTCCCTTAAAATGTTGAAATGCAAAATTCCTGAAACACTTCATTATTTATGATGAGAACCTACAATTCCAATTTTCAAGTTCCTACCTTTAAAAAAAAATCGATATTTCCAAATAAATTTTCACTCCCCCATTTCCCATCCTTAAAATGTGAAAATTCAAGAACCTCAAAACACGTCATTATTAATTTGTATACATTAGCTGCAATTTAAATTTTCATGTTTCTAACTTCAAAGAGAACAAAAAAATATGTACTCCCATACAAACTTTCACCCCCCGTTTGCCCCCCCTCAAGATGTAAAAATATAAAAACCCTAAAACACATTATTGTTAATTTGTACTCGGTAGCTGCAATTCCAATTTTTATGTTTTTAACTTTAAGGAGAACCAAAAACAGATATTCCCAAATAAATTTTCACCCCCCATTCCCCCTCTTAAAATGTGAAAATCCAAAAACCCTGAAACACATCATTAATAATTTGTAGTCAGTAACTGCAATTCCAATTTTCATGTTTCTAATTTCATAGAGAACAAAAAAAAATCGGTAGTCCCATGCAAACTTTAACCCCCCGTTTCCCCCCCTTAAAATGTGAAAATCCAAAAACCCTGAAACACGTCATTATTTATTTATGCTTAGTAGCTGTAATTTAAATTTTCATGTTTCTAACTTTAAAGAACAAAGAGTTTTTTTAAATGCTCGCTCCCCCCATTTTCTCCCATTTCCCCCCTTTAAAGTTGAAATTTCCAAAAATCCTTTCTTAGCGGATGCTTACGTTATAAAAAAAAACCTATTTTCCAAATTTCAGCCTTCTAGGCTCAGTAGTTTTGGCTGTACGCTAATAGGTCAGTCAGTCAGTCAGTCAGTCAGGACAAACAATTTTATATATATCGATGGCTCAATCAAAAACTGCTACAAGTCAAAAAACAAAGAAAATTACATTTTTGGTTCAATGGATGCAAAATATCATTAAGATTTTACTTTAAATACCGCCACAAACAAAAATATCCTTAAAGATGTCCGAAAATCATTTAAAATCTAGCCACAAACTGTGTCTAAAACTGCCTTAATTAGAGTTATTTTCTGCAAAAACACCCAACTTTTTTACAAACTATGCAATAACTCGCTTTTATAATCGTAATCGTTAGTTTTAACAGCAAAATATCAAAGCTTTTAAATAAAACATAAAGATTTAATGTCAAAAACAAAATAATGATAATAGAGACTTACAAAATTTCAAAATGAAATTTCTCGAAACAATATTATTTTAGTTGTGCCAGTATTTGACTGAGCTATCGATATATAGATTGACTAGCACCAGAAGATGGTAAAATCCGAAATATATGTAGTGCCTGTGATTAAATTATATATATAAAAAAAAAATAAAAACTATTTGACCAAATAAACCAATGTACTTTTTATTTATATAAAATTCTACTAAGGTCAGGAAATTTGCCTTATTCAGTAAAACTGCTAGTGTGATGTTTCTTGAACTTTACAACCTTTCATAAGAAAGGTTCCGGATATACGAAAGAAAGTAAAACTGTTAGTGTGATGTTTTCTGAACTTCCCTTTGCAACCTCTATGAGAGGTGCTATAAAACTCCTGCAGTTCCGGACATTCGGCCAGCATTCGGCGAGCATAAACGGCCCGTAATTGCAGCTTATTATCGTAAATGGGATGTTAATGTGGGCAGACCGGAGTAGAGTCCCGTTTATACCTGCTATATTGACGGTCCAAAATTAAGATGGCTGAGTAGAGTCCAGGGTTAGATTAAGTCATTAAAAGATTAACTACCTAGATTTCGAAGCTTACACAAAATACACATTAATTCAAAAATATATAACTATAAAAAGTTATGTGGCAAGTAGACTTACATGTCTAATGCCATACATACACTTAAAAAATATATATTTCAATGCTGTCAGTGTACTAAATAAACTGTTTAGGTGGCGAAAAATACAACAACTTGGCCCTACTACTGCATAAAAGGATAAGGATTCAGAAGTTTGCCGTTTCTTAATAAAATAGATGTTGGAGACTGTTTTGCTATTGATTTAATTGCTTCTCAACCTAGCAATTCCGAACTTCCGTTATTCGCAGATTATCTTGTAGATACTTATGTAACAGAATCGTCCAAATTTCCATCATACATATGAGCTGAAAATACAAGTAGTGTAAAGAGAACTAACTACAAATGCCTACGAAAGTTTTCATTCACGGTTTAATTCTGCATTTTACCATTCACTTCCTCATATTTTTCAATTTATTATAGTTTTAATAGATTTTCAAAGTGATACCTACATAAAGATTAGGACAGCGCAACAAAATGAAAAGAAAATATACTATGCAAAAACTATAGAAAACAAACAATTTTTGGATGACAAAATATGCATTAAAAAATAACAAACTTTGAATTTATTAAGGTAGTAAGAATGACATTTATGCATAATCGAGCCTTTAAAGCATGAACAACGAGTTTAAGGCCACGACGCGCAGCGGAGTATGAGTATGAGTAGTAGTATGAGTAGTAATAACTACAATCATTTTAATTAAAAATTGCAAATTAATAATGTCCATGTATTTTATCGAGGGGGTAGGAAAATGTCATTTGACATTTCATTAAATTATTAAACGTCATTCTTGTATGTATTGAAAATGTCGACGGAAATTGAAGAATTAGCGGCTAAAGCCGGAGTTATAAAACCTGTGAAATCCAAGAATTTATACTGCAAGGAATATGAAAAGTTAGTATTATGGATGGAACAGAAGCATACTCAAATATAGATGAGTTGGTAATGTTAGCGTATGTGTTGGAAATGTCCAGAATTTACAAATCTTCGTCACTTGTTTTTAGGTAAACAATTTGATTAATTTGACAATTCAAAATAAAATCTGACATAATCTATACCTATTTATTGAAGCGGTTACCTAGCAACCTTTATACGCACGGCGTGCGATAAAGGCTCGAGTATGCACGCTTTTGAGTTTGTTTGGGATGGTTTATGATACATGAATACTAGAAATCGATTTAAAATGTAGAACACAACCTAATTTTGTAGTTTATGTAAATATAAAATAAATTGCCCTTATTTTATGTTTTAAAATATTTTATAGCGCTGTGAATAATTAATAAATATATTTTTCCTACGACCACTTAGGAAAGTGACACATATCACACTATATAGTCCTATGGAAAGTGCCCTATATCACACGCGTAGGTATGAGTAAGAATTTACTTTCCACCCGAGTGAGAATACCTATGTTACTTTCCGCAGTAGCTGTCAGAAAATGTCAAACACATAATTTCTATTTTGATCTATGTAATGTCCATATTATTACTAAAATCGATATGATTGTTAAATTATTGAAATTATTGTAAATTAGATCCTCTATATTTATCTTTAACAATTATTATTAAAATAATTTTAAAATAACTAAGATAATATTTGCTTTTTATTCTGGTTAAACACATAAGCGATTAGATCAATCAATTACCGTAAGGCCTGTTAGCTCAGTTGGTTAGAGCATCAACTTTGCAATTTGAGACCATCCAACGACCGCGATCGAATCCTGGCTGTGCCAGAATTTTTTTTTTCTAATTTTTTTTATTCGTTTAGAAATTATGAAAATTTAATAAATACGATTATTGTTGATTATTTTTTTAAATACATTTTAATTATTATAATAATCTGGTTTTACATTTTTTGATGAAATTATTTTGTGGTCGTAGGAAAAATATTGTACATCACTTGTGTGAAAAGTGATTTTCCACACTCGTGTGATAGTCGCACTCGTGTGAAAAATGTCACTTTCCACACTCGTAATGTAATATACTATTTTATTTATCTGGTTTACTTTATTACCATATTTCATAATACCACAGTTCCTTAAAAAGTATAAATTTTAATAAAAAAAAATAATTCAGCTACCAGAGATAATGAGTTCGGACTCTATTCAACCATTTCTCGGACTCTACTCGGATATCAGTTAGAGCGACCTAGAGAAGTCGGGACTCTACTCGAGATCACCGGTTAATGTGCTAGCTCAGTGTGGTTAATTAATAATGACGACATGGGCGCCCCAAGAAAAAAAGCCAGGAGGGAGCAATCAAAAAAATTGTATATGTATGCAAAAATAATAATACTGAATTAACAAAATGAAAAGCAAGTCGGGCCACCCCCCTTTTCTTGGGACGCCCTTGAATGACGGGATTACAATATGTTACCAGGAATGAACAAGAAATATGTACCGAAATACATCAGAAACACCTAAAAATGTTCGACATGAAAGAGAAAATGAAAACGATACAAAAATTTGGTTCGAATTAAATTGGATTTTGCCTCGTTTACTTAATCTTTCCAGTCCACTTATTACCATACATTTCGTGTTTTCCTTTTCATTGATAAAAACAATAAACACACGCATTAATTACCGAACCACAAGTAACTTTCCAGTCGAAGAGTTACAAGATTATTTTTCTTATTTTGACCAGCGTACTCTTTGTTTTGGATTGCCGAAAAATCCCTTATAGGAACCGACCTAGAAGGGGCATCAAAGACGTACAATTTCATTATTTAGCATTCGTCAGTTATCAATCGGGGTGTCAAAGGTCACAGAACTCGCTCATAAAAGTTATAAAAGAGATTCTGGAGATAATTGTAAGTCAGTTGTCGTGCGAGAATGGGTCGAAGAGGTCCTATCCGATTGGGCCTTGCCCTTGCACTTGTTTTAGTGGCTCAACAGACTTTTGCCGGTAAGAGAAGGATGTTTTTGATTGTGTTTTATTTTTATTTTTAATGATAATAATTATTAGTGGCGGACTTCCAGTCTAATTTTTCAATTTAGTTAATACCCAAGCGCTTTTGTTGCTTCTAGAACGGGGCAGGAATTTCGTAATTTTCTCGGTTTTTTTCTTAAATGTTTTGTGCCGGTTTGACAAACGTTTTAATGTGACAAACTTACGGTTTTTTTTTGGTACCTACTTTATAATATTTTTTATAAATATCTGATTTTATTTAAGGGTAAATAAATGCAGTGGCGGAGCTAAGATTTTAGGCGCCCGGAATAGAAAGGGGCACCATAATTCTTTCAAATGATTATATTACGTAATATTAATAATTAAAAAAAGATTAGCATTTATTTGGTACCAGTAAATTATAATTTAAATAAATTTATAATGTATTTTCGATTAAAACAGAATACAAAATATATAAAACATAATTATTCAATTTTTTTTTATAAAAAGACAAACTATTTAGTAAGCTGACTGCTCTTGAATAAAATACCTTTGTTAAATTTATAATATTGTGTTTGATTGAACTGATTTTTTGTGCTTTTTCTGCGAAACTTGTATTGTCATAAAAAATATTAAAAATTGAATACTTTTAAATAAAATAAAAATTTCTCTGCATGCCACTGAGAAAAAAATATATAAATAAAAGTGAGACAATTTTAAAAAACTAGATACGCCTCAAAACAATTTTAAATACCAACTGTTTCTCTAAAATGTATACAGGATGACAAAAAAATAAGAACAGTTACTAACGTTTCTTTCAATAAAAATATACAGGGTGTATCAACTATGCTTGGGTGGACGATATCTGTTTCCCTATTTGAGATAGTAAAAACTGTCTCAAATAAAATTTGTAAAGGACCAAGGAAGCTCTGTTTCAAAAATAACTACCAATGTACCAGTGGTGGCTCGTGCATAAGTGCGGTAAAACTGCAAAACTGTCAAAAAATGCAAGTATCTCATCTACATTTCCCATAAATTATTTTAGACATTCTAAAATATACGTAAAGTAGATTTTATGGATAATATCATTAATTTAAATTTAATTTTAAATAGTAAATAGTGTGTGTGAACTGTACCGCTTGGGCCGATGCCCGCTCATCGTCTTTTTTAGTTGTTCTAGTAGTTTTGATAGGCATAAGCCTATCAAAAGGACGAATTAACAAGTTTGTGAATATATTGGTTATTTACGCGTGGAGAAGAAAATGCTTTGAATAAAAGTTGCTTGTATTGTTATTCTCTATAATTTTTGTCCTATTCATAATTTTCCTAAAATGGTCCGTATTCGAGAAATTTGACAAAAAGCACAAAATTGAAATTAATTGGAATATTATTTAAATAAAAATTGTTTGTCATGTCATTATCTATAATTCTTATTCTATATATAATTTCTCTAAAATAGACCGTATTCTAGATATTTAAGAAAAAGTGCAAATTTTGAATTTTGAAAATAACTCCAAAACTGATAAAGATAAAAAAAACAAATTTAAAATTTAAGCTTTAATCCATCCTGAGATGAACTGGTTAAATTTTGGGTATAGTCCGAACATCTGGGGGGTAGGTACTTTATGGGCAGTCATTTTTCTACTTTATGGAATATATCTGTTATTTACGCTTAAAGAAGAAAATTATTTTGATAAAAGTTGCTTGTAATGTTATTTTCTATAATTTTTATTTTATACATAATTTTCCTAAAATGGTCCGTATTCGAGAAATTTTTACAAAAAGTACAAAATTCTATTTTTTTTAAAAATTATTTAAATAAAAGTTGTTTACGATATGCTTCTCTATAATTTTTGACTTATACATAATTTCTCTAAAATGGACCGTTAGGGCAAAATTTGAGAAAAGTGTAAAATTTTAATTTTTCCGTATTTTCGTTGGCAATGAAATTAGACGGTCATATTTTAACAGCGTAATCTACATCCTAAAATAGTAGTAAAAAATCGTCCGAAAACGTTTCGTGTTCGAGATACAGGGTGTTACAAGTGAAGTCCTGATGGCACATTTTTATAAATATTTTCCAAAATTTCTTTGGTCACCGGTTTTCCAAAGTTAAAAAAAAATAAAATTTCTGATTCCACAGGCCTACTAATTATTGTTTACACTAGCGAGATTCAACAAAAGTAACTTTATTATAAAGAAAACATTGGTTTTCCAAATTTTATAGTTAAATGTTAAAAACTTTCACTGAGTTATCTTCAAACGTTTAGAAAATATTTACAAAAGTGTGTCATCAGGACTTTACTTTTAACACCCTGTATCTCGGAAAAAGAAACGTTTTCGGACCTATATTTATATGAACTTTCACTCCTATTTTAGGATGTAGGTTACGTTGTTAAAATATGACCGTCTAATTTCGGGACAAAAAAATGTATTTATAGATTGTTTCATTTGAAAAAAATTGAGAAAAAAGTCCCCAGTTTTGTTTGCCCCTGTAAGGGAAAAGCGCCATTCGGTAAAAATTATAAGTATGAAATGAAAATACATCATTTTCAAGAATATTCCAAATTATTGATTTTGAGATATTTGGTGTTGAATAAATCCATTTTGTGACATAAATCCCACAATAAATTCCGAATCACCTGGTATAAACCTATACAGTTCATCAAATTTCTATAGGCTTTCGACGGCTAGACAGAGAAAGCACTACTGACAAGCATCCCGACGGATTTACGCAATGAAAGTACACTATGCGCATCAAGTATTTCACTATTTCATTCAGACGTAAATGTCAGATGTAAATTTCGCTAAAACATTTCTTTTATTTTCGTTTGTGTTTTTTGCTCATTACAGTTTAATAGAACCTAAGTATGGAGTTTAATAGCAAATTAAGAGGCCGCGTGATTAACAGTCAATCTCGCGAAATAATAGCCAATGTTATAGAGTTTATGAGAAGAGAAGGAAACTTTAATTCACCTTCAATACCATTTAAATATGTAAATGATCGTGTTGCTGCAGCTACAGGAGTATCTAAAAACACTGTCGTCCGCATTTCTGGAGAGAAAAAAAGAATCGATAACCGTGAGATATCGGAATTTTCATCACCAAGAAAAACCATTAAAAAACCAAAAACAGTTAATGATATAGATTAAGCTGCACAAGAATCAAATTTTATGTTTTTATTATTAGATAGCTATTTTTGTTTCTGAGTTGTGTTCATTTACAGGCTCAATTTTTTTCCGTTTCTCCTTTTTGATTTTATATGGGGTTTCAAGTTGTTTTTGACTTATTTCGACGTAAATCACAACAACACACTTTTTTAATAAAGCAAACAAGTGTTAAGAGGTATATGTACGTGTAAACTACAATTACAAAAAATTGATATGAAACCCATGAAACCACCAACAAAAATGTAAAGCTAGCTTCCGTACTAGAACATGGTGTCATTCGTCGAGATAATTTATCGTTTTGTTTAATAGATCAAGAAATGTAAATATTCCCCTGTTATTTTTTATAAAATTATAAGAGAAATAAATTTTTTTCTAAATAGTATAGTTTATTATTTTGTAGAAAAACAAAATTTCGAAAATTTTAGTAATGTTTCAGAAACAACCGTTATTAATAATAGGTACCATTTTCCTTAATAAGGTAGAAATAAAATATAAACTATTTACAAAGGCCTACAAAAAAATTATAGGTATTTTCCGCTATCCTATAAAATTCATATTTTCTGACTCAATTTTAAAAGGTTGAAGGAATTCCAAAACACCTTTTATGGCATAATAATTATTTTCAATTCTACATACTATCTTTAGCTGCTTTTAAAAACGTTCTAAGAAAGTTCAATCAGACCAATTTAATCCCTAAACTATTCCATACTTTTAAAATTTAATTACCTAAAAATATTAAAAACTATTTAAAATAACTTGTTTAGCAGACTGTACAATAGCTATCTTAGTCACACGTAGCGCGTTCTCTGTCTGGGCGTCGAACACCTTTAGAAATTTGATGAACTGTACAAATCTATATTTTTAAGAACAGGTGCAAATTTAGGAACATTTCTCAGGGATGGAGGGGAGTAAATAATTATATTCTTCGCCGCTATCTTGTTTTTTTAATTTCTCGTAAAATCTCGAGGTAACAATTTAACAAATTTCAGTATTTCTTCGAACAGCTCAGGAGGGTAATTACCCTTATAGCCCCCTTGTATCCGCGCCTGTTTAAGAAACACTATTCCAAAGGACATCTCAAACATTTTTGAATTTGAGATAAGAATGTATTCTTAGCAAGAAGGACAAGATATATTACAATAATTCAACCCTATAAAATCTCAAAATACCTATTTTGCTCTTTTTTTAATAATAAATTACAATTTAGTAAAGGAAAATCTTACAAATTAGTAAAGAAAAATTTTTTTCTACACCCACATGGATATTAGCTTATCTACGCACAGATTACAAAACGAAAAAGTATGCTATTGCCTTCAACTGAATGAATATATTTTATATCCATTTTAGGTAGTGAGTACACTTTTGAACTGGGACAGCGATATATACATAGAATTTCATTTAAAGAAACACAACTTTGATAAGCTACTCATTTATCGGACACTCTGTATATTTAAAATTATTTTTGGAACATAGCTTTCATTGTTCTCTACAATTTTTATTTGAGATATTTTTAGCTATCGTACACCCACGCAACGTTGATACATCCTGTATATCTGCACGTGTGTAACATCAGGAGTACCTCAAGGCTCTGTCATAGGTCCTCTTTTGTTTTCAATTTATATTTCAGACCTTTATAAATTATTGGAGCATATAATTATATTTTGCCGGCCCTCGTGAAGAAGATATAGCTTGGCAAAACATACATTCTTAAACATTTTTTTAAAGACCTTTTGCCTATAACGTCAGTAAAACAGTCTTCCTAGAGAACGAGTCTCTGTAACATTCTTAAAACAAAGTTATAAAATGTTGCTATTAGCTTAGCAATGAATACAGTGCTAACGTTAATAT